GGGGGGGGTAAGGATGAGGATGGCAGAGCCTGCTGGGCTGCCCCGCTCAGATTTCCCATCCAGGAGCAGAGTGAGTTTGGTCTTGTGCGCCCAAATGGAGTCCGTGCGCTTGTGCGGGGGTTCAGCGGCCGAGGGTCTGGGCCACGTTTGGGTGTTTTTTATGATTATTTTTGTCCCTGTTTGTTTTTTATGACGATGCTGTGACGACACAGTCGGGGTTCCCCCGTTCCTGCACCCCCGTCCCGCTCAGATTTCCCATCCAGGAGCAGAGTGAGTTTGGTCTTGTGCGCCCAAATGGAGTCCGTGCGCTTGTGCGGGGGTTCAGCGGCCGAGGGTCTGGGCCACGTTTGGGTGTTTTTTATGATTATTTTTGTCCCTGTTTGTTTTTTATGACGATGCTGTGACGACACAGTCGGGGTTCCCCCGTTCCTGCACCCCCGTAGCAGCAAGAACAGATTCCGCCCATTGTAGACTAGAGAGGGGTTTATTGTTCCTCCAGGATACAGCACAGCCAGTGTGATGTGGCTACAGGGGCCAGGATCCCTCAGATCCTAGGGTTAGGGGCCCATCGCCCCTAGGCCCCCTGCTTGGCCTCGTCTCTTCATGCTTCCCAGACAGCCACTGCCTCCCTCCCAGGCCTGCCCCCCCGCCAGGTGCTGGTCTCCGCCTCCCTCCCTTTTCTCTCCCTGGGGGGCTGAGCCTGGGTGTCTGGGTTAATCCACATGTGGGAGAGTCAGTGAGACTCTCCCATCCCAGCGCAGGGGGACCCCGGGTCACAGAGCAGACAGCCCCCCCACCACGCCACAGACGCTACCTACAGATCAAGCGTTTTGTAGTGGTCGACTTGCCACTGTGCAGACGGTACCGCTGCGAAATAAAACCTCCAAATGAATTGCCCTGAGAGCCGCTGTTCTGTGGTAAAAATAAGGTTTGCGTTGGGCAAAGACGTAACCTGAGTTTTGCAGCTTGGTTCCAAAACCAGGAATTCTTGCCGGCGGTAGCGTACGCGGGGTGCTTCTGCCACGGGGTTGAGAGCAGCAGAAACGATCGGGTTTGATGTATCTTGGGTCCTTGACAAATAAACTGTCTGGAGGCTCACCCAGAAACCTGGAAAGAATGAACACGGCCTCCCCGCTCGGAGCGCACGCGCAAACCATCTCTAGGCAACCCCCTGCCCCTC